CATTGAATTGCTTGGACTCTTGCTGAAATAAATTGACTGTAAATATGATGACTTATTACTGGACTATTGATAAGTCTATATAATCTGTGTGCCTGTTCTTATCTAATACGATACTGTCTTGATTACTCGTAAGCTTTTAAGTATTGAAGTCAGCTAGTGTAAGTTTGCCTACTTTACTTTTTCAAATTGTTATGACAATTTTGAGTTATTTGAACTTCCATAAAATTATTAGTGTCAGCTTATCCATGTGAACAAAAATTCTCATGGAATTTAAAAATTATTTTATTATTTTACTTTTTTTTTTTAAAAAGAATTGGGTCTCATGTTTGTCACCTAGGCGGGATGCAGTGGCACAATAATAGCTCACTTTAACCTCAAACTCTTGGCCAAGGGATCCTCCACCTCAGCCTCCAAGTAGCTGGGACATGCACCACCACACCCAGCTGATTTTTGAAGTTTTTGTAGAGACAGGTTCTCATTGTGTTGCCCAGGCTGGTCTTGAACTCCTGGCCTTAAGTAATTCTCTTGCCTCACCTCCCAAAGTGCTGGGATTTACAGGTGTGAGTCACCACACCTGGCTGAAGGTATTGGAAACACTGCTAAAATCCTCCAGTTTGATGCTTTCCCAGCTGAGCTATTTGGCTTGCTCCTCAGAATTCTGATTGGAATTGTATTGAATCTGTATTGTTTGGGAAAGTTGTCATTTTAACAATATTATCTTGCAATCCATGAAAATGAAATGACTCTACATTTATTTAGATATTCTGTAATTTCTTTTCTTTTTTCTTTTTTTTTGAGATGGAGTCTCGCTCTGTCGCCCCAGGCTGGAGTGCAGTGGTGCCATTTCAGCTCACTGCAAGCTCCACCTCCCAGGTTCACACCATTCTCCTGCCTCACCCTCCTGAGTAGATGGGACTGCAGGCGCCCGCACCCATGCCTGGCTAATTTTTTGTATTTTTAGTAGAGACGAGTTTGACCATGTTAGCCAGGATGGTCTCGATCTCCTGACTCATGATCACCTGCTTGGCCCTCCCACAGAGATGCCTTTTTTTTTCTTGCTTGCTTTATTACCTCTATTTAAAATGACTGAATACCACTGTTGTGATATTCCCAAATCAGTATCCTGTTCCTGCCTAGCACACTGTTAAAGATAGTTCTAAGATACTTTCCAAGATTAGTTTGACTTCCCTTAAACTGTCCAACCTTTCACAAACCCTGAAACTGACAGTCTCATTTCCCAGTGACTTCCAGCAATGATTACAATCACCAATTCCCAGATCCAGAAGAAATAACAATGAACACGTAACTTTTACTTAAATTGTTTAAAGTCTTCAAAAGGACTTCCATAATGCCATCCGGGAGGCAGAAGTTGTGGTGAGCTGAGATCTTGCCACTGCACTCTCATCAAAGCTAAAAGCTTTTGTGCTTCAAACGACACCATTAAGAAAACTAAAAGGCTACACAGATTGGGGAGAAAGTATTTACAAATCACTTATCTGATAAGACTGTTTATACAGAATATATTCAGAACTCTTACAACTCAGTGACAACCTAATCAAGAAAATGGGTAGATTTTAATGGACATTTCACCAAAGATATATAAAAAAAGCATAGGAAAACATGCTCAACATCATTAGCCATTAGGAAACTGAAATTAATACTATGGTGAAATACCACTGCACAACTGCTAGAATGGCTACAGTTAAAAAAATGAGACAATACCAAGTGTTGGTGAGGTTGTGGAACAACTGATAAGTTCAGACATTACTGGCTATTTTCCATTTGGAAAACAGTTTGGCAATTTCTTAAAAACATAAACTTACCATAAGACCCAGCAATTCCTCTCCTCAGGAATCACCCAAGAAAAATGAAAACATATATCCACACAAAGATTTGTATGCAAATATTCACAGTAGCATTAGTCATAACAGCCAAAATGTAGAAACATCCAAACATGTCCATGAATTTATCAATGAATGAAGAAAATGTGGTATTATCTATACAATGAAATACATTTCACAACATAAAATAACAAAATACTGATACATAACATGAATGAAGCTCAAAAACATTATGCTAAGTGAAAGAAACCTATATACATATGTTGTGAACAAAACGCTCATATATTGTGCAATTCCATGTATTTGAAATGATGAGGAAAGGCAAATCTACAGACAGAACAAGGTGGTTGCCCCAGGCTGGGATGGAAAAGGGGATCACCATAGCAAGCAGACACAGAGGTGAGGTAATGGAAATGATCTAAAATTGGATGCTGGCCAGGCACAGTGGCTCACACCTGTAAACCCAGCACTTTGGGAGGCCGAGGCAGGCGGACCACTTGAGGTCAGGAGTTCAAAACCAGCCTGGCCAACATTGTGAAACTCTGTCTCTACTAAAACTACAAAAATTTGCCAGGTGTGGTGGTGCACTCCTGTAATCCCAACTACTCGGGAGGTGGAGGCAGAAGAATTGCTTAAATCCGGGAGGCAGAAGTTGTGGTGAGCTGAGATCTTGCCACTGCACTCTACCCTGGGCAACACAGCGAGATTCCGTCCCGGGAGGAAAAAAAAGGAATAAAATAAAATAAAATTGGATGTTGGTGACAGGTGCAAAACTCTATAAATTTACTGAAAATCAGTGAATTATACACTTAAAATTAGTAACTGTACTAATACTAATAAATAACCAACCAGTGAAGAGTACGGGACGGAAAGGTGTAGATAAAACAAGTTTAGCAATATACTGATAATTTCTGAAACCAGGCAATGGGTCATAGAAGTTCATTATACTATTCATTCTACTCTTACATATGTGGTTTTTTAAAGTAAGTAAAGTTTTGTAAGCAAGTGGCTATATGGTCATTTGCATGTGGCATCATCAATGTCTCTAAAGAGAAAAATAAACTATGATACTATAGTACACCCTGTGAATTAGCTACCCCAAACCTTCCCCACAACCTTCATCTATGATCAGAACTAGAAAGCTAAGAGTCACCTTCCCAGACTCCTTCAAATTAAGGATGGGCATGTGACCCAGTTCTGGCCAATGAGATGTTAAGAAGGACTATCATGTTTCTTAGAAAGCTTTTAAAAACTGGCATGTTTCTTTTGGCCTTTTACCTTTCACACCCAAACCCAGAAACCTATGTCATTGATGACATTACTGAGCTCTATACCAGCCCTGGACTACCTTCCTCACTCATACATCTTGTCATATGAGAAATAAATACCTTTTTTTTTGTTCAACCTAATGGAACAAGTTTTTTTTTTTTTTTTTTTTGGTTTTTTTGGGTTTTTTTTTTCTTGCTTGCTTTATTACCTCTATTTAAAATGACTGAATACCACTGTTGTGATATTCCCAAATCAGTATCCTGTTCCTGCCTAGCACACTGTTAAAGATAGTTCTAAGATACTTTCCAAGATTAGTTTGACTTCCCTTAAACTGTCCAACCTTTCACAAACCCTGAAACTGACAGTCTCATTTCCCAGTGACTTCCAGCAATGATTACAATCACCAATTCCCAGATCCAGAAGAAATAACAATGAACACGTAACTTTTACTTAAATTGTTTAAAGTCTTCAAAAGGACTTCCATAATGCCTAATTTTTTTTAGCCATATGGCATGTGGTAATTTGCACGACAGCTTTTCACAATTTCTATAAAGCAATATTCTTGCTTAATAATAAAGTCTTTTTCCATAAAAAACATACTCCCTGACACATAGAAATAATTGTAACAAAGAACAGCAAAGAGCTAAATACTCTATCAACTTGACTTGGCCTTTATCCTAAAGATCTGCATAGGGCCATAGGCAGAAACCACATTTATTATCTCAGCCTAATTTGCAGAATGGTGAAAAATTAAGCAACACGGTCAATCATCAGAAATGTTATTTTTACTCTTCTATTACTATCATTACTTCTATTACTGTAAATTTGCAATGTCTTTCAAAAGAACTTTCTTCAGTAGATGAAACAGATCATAAAAAATAAATTCCTGGGTGACGAAGCACTGGCAAAAATAAATAAATAAATAAACAAACAAATAAAATAAATAATCTGTGTAGATCCACTAAAATCAGAAAAATTAAATATTCCACCTTTCATACATATCACTGGTTATATAGTCTAAGAAATTTAACTTACACAAGTGAGATTTTAGTTAAAGAAGTAAAAACAATTACAGCACAATCACTTAGATTTCTTTTTTTTAGAAGGCTAACTCAATGCAACAGGAAAAATGTGGTAATTAAATACAATGATATCAACTGACAACATATATTGATTCAGTTCAAAATAAATTAGAAAATTATTATTAAAAATGGTGGGAAAAAAAAGAAAACTTAAAAGAAAGCATCACATGTCTAGGAACTTAAAACACTAATATCTAATGATCTCCAGCAATATAATTTGCACTGGTCTGCTCTCTAAAACTGTGCAGTTTTATATTTTTGTTATATCTTTATCCAAGACAATACAATTATAACAAATTTAATATAGACTTACAGTGGCTTATATTCCAAGAGTAATCTGCCACTGAAAGACACTTCAAAAAGTAAAGGTAAGTATTGGAGTTTCATGATACTTCATTTTTTTAACGTATTTCAATTATGACAGAGTGAGTTAAATAATCTCTAAGCTCTTTGCATCAATTTTTTAAGATCCATGAATCAAAAATACTCGGGAGTCTGAGGCAACAGGAGGCTTGAGCTCAGGGACTCAAGGCTGTAGTACGCCATGATCACACCTGTCAATGGCCACTGAACAACAGGCTAAGAAATAGAGCAGAACCAGTTCCTTTAAAAAAAAAAAAAAAAAGCATAAATTTCTAAACAAGAAATAGGAGATATGCCATAAGCATTATTATAAAGCTATTAATTTCTACTTTTATAGTGAATAACGAAATTCAAAAGTAAATGGTATTTTTTATTTTACTTTACTATGAATTACAAAACAAAAGTACTTAATAAAATAGAAAATATTCCAGAAAGACTACCAAACCTTGAAAAAATCTTCAAGCTGTTTACTATTGTAAAGAGCAGGAATATTGGCAGAGAACTGTAGCAGGTCTTCAGCACATTGTCTTCTCTCTTCGATAACAGTTTCATCAAATCGCCCTACAATTAAATAAGAATCAACTCTTAAGGGAAGAATGATCAAAAACTGGTTTATGATAGTTTATGTCCACAGATCAGAAAGTAGCAGCAGGCCTATCACTTAGTTGCTTTGCTTATTATGCAAACTTCTGAAGTCAAATCTAATCTCTACAATTAGAATCAGCAGTACTCTCGCTAGAAAAGAAAATGTTTCTGATAAAACAAGAGGCAAAGGTGTCAACTGATAAATAAACGGTATGTTCATAATTTAGAGCCTGTCAATTTAAGAAAGTTACCATTGAAGAAGCTGGTGATTTGAAACTAAAGTTGAAAAGAGAATTTTAAAGAAGTGAAATGGTTTTCTATAGTAATCTAATACTGTAATTACTCATATAATTTTCCCTTTTCTACTCTTTTTGATTTATAAAGGGGCTGAAGAGAGGAAATTATGAGAACATCTGTATTATCAGTGGGGTCAAAAACCTCAGCTTGAAGCAAAAAGCTTTTATGCTAAATTCCATGTGTGATGCTGTCAGCATACATAACAGCATGCTTGTGAGAAAAAAAGAACACACATACAGCACCAGCCAGTTCTGCTTTACAAGGTGATCAAAAGGTGGTTTCCATAGAATTTTTTAATGATATATACAATTTGAATGCTGATAAGACATTTTCAAATATGATCATTTTGTAGTCCTCTTAGATTAGATTACCAGTTGACATTTATCATATGCCATGTATCATACTGATTGCAATAAAAAAATACAAAATCGGAAAAGTAGCATCATCACATACTTAAACATTTTAAGTGCCTTTGCAGAGTATTAACAGAAAACTGAGGCATAAAGAGATTCCTAGTTATATAGGCAAGGCAAGTGCCTATATGACTGGCAAGTGAAACTGAACCACTAAAATATCCTCTGCCCAGTGTGTCTCATGCTTATGGTTAAGTGTCTATTTCATGATAACTAAAAGGATCTGAGTTCAAATATTACCTTTATCATTCACTAGCTGTAAAATCTCAGGCAGATTATTTCCTTATTTGTAAAATGTAGGAAATGAATAATGTACTTAAGGTTCCCAGTTCCCTGCCAGGCACACAGTAAGCATTTAACAGCATATTACAGTTCTTTGAATCTTCAAGTTCTATCATAGTGACTAAAATACAGAGCATGCTAGCAAACTTTTATTGACTGTGTGAGTGAATAACAAAAACTTTTAAAAGCCATGTAAAAATAAATAAATAATTGACTTAGAGTGAAATGTTATCACAGACAATCTTCTTTTTTTTTTTTTTTTTTTTTTTACACAGTCTCACTGTGTCACCCAGAGTGATCTCAACTGCACTGCAGCCTCAATCCAGGGGCAAGGCAACTTTCCACTTCAGCCTCCCAAGGAGCTGGGACTACAGGCACATGCCACCACAGCCAGCTAATTATTTTGTAGAGAGAGGGTCTCACTACACTGCCCAGGCTAATGTCGAATTCCTGGATGCAAGTGATTCTCCCATCTAGGCCTCCCAAAGTGCTGGGATTGCATTGCAGGCATGAGCCACCATACCCAGCCTGTAACAGGAAATCTTTACAGTGGATCCATACACAACCTCTTAGGCAATGGTTCATGGATGGGCTCCAGAGACAATAATCTCACAGAATTCCATGCATATATATATACACAGGTGCATTTTTCTAAGGATAGGGTCTATAACTTTTACCAGTGTCCTGAAAGAGCCTAGGACCAAATAAAGGTCAGCAGGCAAGTGGCAGCCAATTAGAGGATTCCTAACATTCTGTATACTGCTTTACTTACTATAGAATAGGCTGTCCACTGCTATCCAAATATGTGTTCTTGCTTTCTTCCTCAATTTTTATTCAAATGGGTACATGACAGCCCAGGGGCGGGGGCGGAGGGGGGGGAACTGTAATTGCCAGCTTGCTTTGCAGTTAGGCATACACATAAACTAAGTTCTGGCAAACAGCATATAAACAAGTTATACTGTAGCTTCCCAGAAATCTTTTTAAAAGACAAATGACATACAACCTCTCTCTCCTTTTCTTCTTCGTCCCTTCCCCCTTCCAAGAAGAACCAAGAAGTGGAAGGTTAAAAATGACACAAACAGGGTGCAGTGGTGCAAACCTATAATCCCAGCTTCTCAGGAGGCTGAGGCCAGAAGGATCACTTGAGCCTAGCAGTTCAAGTCAGCCTGGGCAACATAGCAAGACTACATCTCATTAAAAAATGACAGGGCAACAAGACAGGAGCTTGGATTCCGGGTCACTGTGCAGCTGCCACGCTTGCGGCTACCTCCAAACCTTTTGCCATGAGGAAGAAATTGACTTCTATCTTTTCTCACAAATAACCAAACCCAACATAATCCATTATGCTACATTTGTTTTTGTTAGTTCTCAGTTCAAGTGCAACAATTAAATTCAACCCTCCCAATAACAATACCAAATCTAAAATGACACTACTCACTTACCTATCACTAATATTATCTAGAAACAAATCTGCAAGAGCCCCAATAGGTAAAACCAATTCTCTGGCTTGAAAACAATCTAAATGAGTTAATCTTAGGAAAAAATCTACTGGTCAGCTAGATTAAATGCTCATTATTCCTTATTTTGCCTAAATAAGAAAGTATGAATCAGTGTTTATGATTATAGTACAACATATTTATCCCTTAAAAAAGTAAATTCAAGTGCCTATAAATTAATATTAATAATTGCATAAATATCTAAAAGCTTAGAACAGTAACCCAGAAAATGCACACATTATTTTATGCTTCGACCCACTAGACTACCTGAGAATATCTTTAAATGCATTAACTACTTGTTGAGAAATCTTAACGAAAGTGTTCTTAATATTTAATAGTACCCTAAAAAGATCTTATTTCTATCTGAAACAAATACAAAAAAAATTAGAGGCTTTAATCTTCCCCATTCAGCTAAAGTAAAACACTTAAGCAATGGAATAAATGCCAAAAGCATATCTTCTTGTACTTCTATTGATTTATTGTTTCTATTCCACTAAACTTTGACAAGCAGATATGAATTGAGACATTTTTTTCAGAATAGTGCACAACCAAAAATAAAGCGTTATGCATTAAATAAGCTTCAATTACATTGAATCCTATCATCAGAACAAATACGATAAAGAAACATGCTCATTTCTTTGTTCCTAAAATACTTCAGAATAACAACAGAAGAATGGTATTAAGTGGGCAAAGGACATGAACAGACAGGCACTTCTCAAAAGAAGACACACAAGCAACCAACAAACATGAAAATATGCTCAACATCACTGATCATCAGAAAAATGCAAATCAAAACCATAATGAGACACCACCTCACGCCAGTCAGAATGGCTGTTATTAAAAAGTCAAAAAATAATAGATGCTGGCGAGGTTGCACAGAATAAGGAAGGCTCACAAACTGTTCGTGGGAGCGTAAATTAGTTCAGCCCCTGTGGAAGGCATGTTTGAGATTTTTCAAATAACTAAAAATAAAATTACCATTTTACCCAGCCATCCCATCACTAGGAATATACTCAAAGGAAAAATAAATTGTTCTACCAAAAAGTCACCTGCACTCTCATGTTTATCATAGCACTATTCATGATAGTAAAGACATGGGATCAACCTAGGTGCCCATCAACAGCGGACTGGATAAAGAAAATGTGGTACATATACACCATGGAATACTACACAGTCATAAAAAAGAATGAAATAATGTCCTGTGCAGCAACATGGATGCAGGTGGAGGCCATTATCCTAAGTGAATTAACACAGGAACAGAAAACTAAATACCACATGTTCTCACTTATAAGTGAGAGTTAAACACTGGGTACACATGGACACAAAGATGGGCACAACAGACATTGAGAACTCCAAAAGTGGGGATGGAAAGAGGGAGATAACTGTTAAAAAACTATCTATTGGGTACTATATTCATTATTTGGGTGGTAAGTTCATTTGAAGCCCAGATCTCAACACCACACAACATACCCAGGTAACAAACCTGCACATGTACCTGCTGAATCTAAAAAGAAACAATGTTTTCCCGTTTCCTGATAATAATAAAATTTTTAAGAGACCATTAACACATGAATTAGACAAACAACTGACTGGGAGAAAATATTTGCAAAACATCAAACTACTGGTATCTAAGATATACAAAGAACTCCAGCCCCACAAAATAGGCAAAAGATGTAAACAGATACTTCAGGAAAAAAAAAAAAAAAAGGATGTATTAGTGGCTAATAAGCATGTGAAAAAATCTTTAGCCTATTAGTAATGAAGGAACTGAAAGTTAAAACCACAATAAGATACCATTGCACATGCCCCAGAATGGCTAAAATTAAAAAGGCTAATAATGCCCAATGTTGGTAAGAGTGTGAAGCAGCCAGAAATTTCATACACTGTTGATGGGAATATCAAATGACACAAGCACTTTTGGAAAGTCTCTTAGTTTCTTATAAAATAAAACATACACCTATCTTATGATCCAGAAATTACATTCCCAGCTATTTACCCAAGAGAAACATATATCCACATAAAGATGCTTATCATAGACTTACTTAAAAATCGCCCCAAACTGGTAATATTCCAGGTGCCCATTGACAGGACAGTGGATAAACAGACTGTGGTACATTTAAACCAAACAGCAATAACAAGGAATGAACCTCTGATGAACACAATAGTATGGATGAATCCCAAAAACATGTTGCAGGAGGGAAGCCAGATACAAAAAGTTTGTACGGCATGATTCCATTTAAAATCCAGGACATACAAAACTAATATATAGTAGAAAAACTTCCTTCTAGGGAGCTTGAGGGCAAGGATTGACAGGGAAGGGGCAAGAAGCAAACTTTTAGGTGTTGGTAATGCTCTATATCTTGATAGGGGTTTGGGTTATATAGATATATGTTTGTCACACATACGATGGGACACTTAAGATTTGTGCATTTAACTGTATGTAAACTTATCTAAACAAAATGTAAACAAATATTGAACTCTTATTAAT